GCCAACCTGGCCGCGGCATTAATATAAGACTGCGAGAGCTTGAGCTTCTCTACAATCGCCACCATCAGGAGGCCGAACTAGACACGTCAGATTCAGTTTCATAGAAAAAGAGCCAGAGAGGTCTATGAGGAAAAATCCGCCATAGAGCAATGACACATGTGCATCAGCACACCGTCTGCAGCTACTCTCTGTGAACAAAATGCGATAGCTCATATTTTTCTAACCCAACCAGCTTTTTGTTTCTTTCTTTATATGTTATTCTTAACTAATTATTTGTCAAAATAATTTTTATACAAACCTTTTTCATTTAGTTAATTTTTTTTCAAACCAACAGTATTTACTTTCTTATTTAAATCAAATTATATATCACTTCCTTCTTGTCTTTTTTTTTCACGCCTTAAACAATCAGTTGATTGTAGCCCTTGTTTTTATTGTATCTTTGCTTGACCTTATCCGTACAGCTAATTATTTTCAAGATCTTAATTAACGTGGCGTGTGTGAAGAAGTATAGCGCTCGAAACAAGAACAAAAGGAGAGGAACTGGGATATACTGTGCATCAGTTAATAATAATAATAGTATTCAATCTGTTGATAAACCAGTGTTTAATATATTATTCAGGAACAACCAATCGGTCTTAGTGCTGGCGCACTTAAAAACAACTACAAAAAAAAATACACGCAAACACACAAGTGCAGGAGGGGAACGTAGTTCACCAGTCTGATAATACAAATATTACCATATACGAAAGACAATGAAATCAGCAAGGGAAATCAAACGCACAAAACAGAGACATTACCAGGTGTGAGAGAAAAAAGCAAATACGTGGATATAGTATAGACAAACATCAACCCTTCAAGTGACCAGCCCTTTTCTTGCAAGCGAAAGTCTCGAACAGCGTTTCCGAACATGCTCCTGCATGAGCGAAAATATCAACTATATCAGAGTAGCACTATAACACTCAGTCGGTTTTTGAATCGCGTTAAAATGCTTAAGGTTTAAGGCCCGATGGGCCCTGAAGGTAATGAAGTAAATAAATAAAATACATCACCAAGGTGTGAAAGCAAAAAGCAAATACTGATTATTGTACTGAAAAATATCAACCCTTTAACTCAACAGCCCTTTTCTTACAAGAGGAAGTTTCGAACAGCGTTTCCGAACTAGCTGCCGCCTGAGTTATGATATCAAGTGTATCAGAGTAAGAGTTATAACACTCAGCCGATGATTTGGATAGGGTGTAAGTGTCTAAAACATCGAGCCATATAAAAAGATAATATAAGCCGTGTGAACTCTAAGGCTCAGATTGAACAGAAGGCTGGGATGTTAGTCGAACCGTCCAAGGTCTTAAACAAAAACACCTTCACCCGACGCTGCTGCAGGCTTAACAAGTTGACGAATATCGCGTTACCTCCAATGTTTAAACAAGGATCACCTTCCTGAAGGTAACGATGTTTAAAAATGGAAATAAATTTGTTTTCGATTCACTCGACAAATAAAATGTTAGTTTTGGAAATGCCGTTTCTAAAAACCTAGGCGTACTCTAGCTGGGATTTAACTAAGCAACAGTAAAGCCCGAAAAAAGCGGACGGGCTTTAAATTTCCCTCGTTATCCGAGATACGGCACCTAACCTGCGCAAAGCCGACTGAACCACATTGGTAACATGAGTGTCAAATCTAAGGGTCGAATCAAAAACAACACCAAGGCCCCTCAGTTCACTTACATCTGACAGTAGTTCGCCATGATTAGTATATGGAAAAATATATCATGAGTTTCGCGAGAATATGTCATTGCTTTTTTTTTTTTAAGAATGATTGAAACGGAGGTAATTTTATAAAACAGAAATGACCGAGGAGATATGCGTCATTCTAAGCGTGATGCAATCCTTTAAGGTCGATATTGTTCTCTAAAGTTTTATATAATCAGCACACTGCAGAAATGAAGAGTTCGAGATTTACTGAAAGACATCATTTACAAGAAAACGATTGAAAAGGAGAAGGCCCAAGACAGATCCCTGGTGACCTCCAGACCTTGCCTTCAACAAGGACGAAGTATTATTGATGACACGGACGTACGCTTGCCTATTGAACAAATAGATTTTAACAAATTTTTTACCGAGCCACATACTCCGTAAGAGGAAAGCTTGCGTAAAGGGATATTGTCGATGACAAGGTAAAAGGCCTAACTGAGGTCGAAATAAGAAACGTCATGCTCACCTCTATTGCAAACTACTCCAGGTGCAGCACACGCAAAACATATGAGATTGATGAATTTCGATTTGCCGCACATAAAGCCATGCTGGTGAGGAAGGATTATACTGCGAAATTTGAAGGAGAGGAATTGATTGATGACCGTTTAAACATAAAATTGGAAAAGTATGACGGAAGAGAAGCTAGTTTAATTGAGAACGTCTCAACTATTTCCAGATTTCAGGACCGGAACAACCTCTGCAACATTCCAGTCGCCAGGGAATATTTCTGACGTCAAGGAGTTATTTAAACTTGTGCACAGTATAGGCGTAAATACCTCAGATAACCCTTAAAAATTGCAGCGGGCATACCGTAATGACTAGAGGCCGGATCTTTAGGCAAATGCCTATTTTGTTCCTTTGGTCCCTATCGTGCCTTTTCAATTATGAGCACGAATCATGAGTTAAGAAGCGTTTTAGGAGTGGTTTTATCGTGCCTATAAATGCCTATTTCGGCGTTTGAGCCTAAATTACCGTTCCCCGCCTATAAATGCCTATTTCTGATTTTTTTTTTTTGCTTGGCTACCCTAAATTGACTTGTTCTGTTTAGTTTCATTTCAAGCGAACTATCTTCCATCCTGCTGCGACGCATGGCAACAGGTTGCTCCAATCTCTGTCCCGCGATCCAGCACAAACATTGTTTTTTTTTTCTTCACGCCTGTAAGCCAAGGCGCAAACTGTGCCTTCCTTCTAGTAGAAGGCCTTTCCCGCCCTTCCCCACGCATCGTCCTTCTTTCTATTTCTTGCCGCGCCTTTGCTTTCCCCCATCTCGCTTCCCCAGAGAGAAGCGGGTTTGTCGTCTTAACATATCTGGAGAGTGAAGCTCTCGAGCTGCCTGGAGGCTGGAATTCTGGACCTGGCTGATGTACTCCGTTTCGCCCTAAATGGACCAAAGTGGATGCTGGGAGCGTCGCAGCCAGTCCAGCGCTGGGAGAGTTGCATGTGACCTGGAGTCTCCGCGTGTCGCTCCGCCCAAATGGAAGCTCCACTGACATCCTCGTACTACTAGATTGGCTGGGATGAGGGGGGGGGGGGGGGGGGGGTCTCGTCCTAATCACTGCGGTTCATCGGAAGATCGGCAAACGTAGAGTAATGCGTGTGTATGTGCGCGTGCGTGCGTGTCAGCCTACAAGTGAGGTGAAGGAAATAGGAAGCCGCGGCAGCCGCGGTTTGCTCCTTTCGCGTGCGCGTCGGTCTCTGACGTGTGTCCGGTGGTTTGCAGTTTGCTGCTCTTCGCTTTCGCTGCCTGAAGCTGCTGAGCAATGCCAAAAAGAAAGGTCTCAAAGAGCGTGCTGATTCGGCAATGGACCCAACATTCCCTTTGCTACTCGACCGACGGGGTTATGGTCTTCTGTCAACTGTGTGGAAAGCAGGTAAGAAGACACCCTTAGGTACCTTGCTTCGGAGAAAACCAAACCTTTATCGAACGACGAGTTAGCGAATGAAAACGAAACCACGACGTTTCATCGAATGACTCTGTAGCGAATGGCAGCTTCGTTTCCCCTGATCGACAGCGAGGGGTAACTGCGCCAGTTTAAAAGCCTAGCTCGCGATCGCCACCGCCGAAAATCACCCTATTTGCTAAAATGGCATTCGCAAAAACGTTCTCCACTCAAATATTTTCTAATCGCGAAGACGTCATTCGCTCTTATAATATGGACCAAGAAAAACACCCGCATCGTTATTGAAGAGATGATGTAGATGTATTTATTTAATGAAATGTATACTCGTCTATGGGTTGGTGAAGGATTTCCCTGCGCAAAGTCCACAAGCCTCTACAAAACTGTGTCTTCCTGTCCCCTCGGCCGAGACAGGCGCATACATTTGTAATACAGGAGTTTCCTGAATCCTGGCGGCATGATCCTCCAAAAACACTTTAAGTAATTTTTTATTTGACAGATACGAGTCACAATCTTTTTCGAAATGTATTAGCCCCGAGAACGAGTAAAACAGTTTCTGTAGTTGCAGGTTGCTGATTGGTTGCTGTGTTGTCTCCGTGACGTCACAGTGAGAAAACCGACATTGTTCCCGCGATATTAGGATCGCGCGGATTCAACTGTACGCACGATATTCAAAGACCAAGCAGAAAGAATATTCGAAGTTACCATATCTGCCATTACCGGACCGTTCGCAAGGTGACTCGGGAAAAAATTTATCTCCGTGACGTCCTGGAGAAGGACCACCAAAAGGAGTCGCACAAACTTCTTGACGCTAATTGAAATTTTAATTAATAAATTAACTATACTCAGTAACAAGACAAAACGCAGTTTCTTTCTATCGCATTATTGATCTCCAGTACGTGATTGTTGCCTCCAGTCATGCTTTGGTTGGGCGTGTACTGTTGAAACTCGCGCTGGGGCCGAGGCAACTGAAATACCCCTTATCTCGCGCGACATAATCGGCAAACCAACTCTAAAGAGATGAATCGTGCAGGATCTCACGATGCCCCATAAACAGCACGCACCCAGTTTGGGCACGAGTCGTAGTTCACCCAGTAGCCCTGCGCCCTGTTACCTAAGTGGGAGATAGTCTCGCAAGAGTGAGCTTTGGCAGCGGAGCGTATGGCAGCTGTGTGCTCTGATGCTAAACAAGCTTACACAATGCGTAGGCCTTTTCACCATTGTAAAACACTTATATATTTTCAGTGTCGGTATATTTAAAGGTGTTAGGAAGATATTGCTTAAAGCCGTCCCCGCTCAGGACGGCGCACTACGCTGTTCAATATATCGTAATGTTTTTTTTTGTTTTTTTCACAGATTCCGTGCGATAAGAAGTGCCACCTGGCACAACACGAAAAAACAGCGGGACATCAAGCGAACGCAAAACGCCACGTGCCCTCACTGTCTAGGCAGTCATTTTTGAGAGAAAACCTCACGGATGGAAAGAAGAACGCATTCTACGCAGACTTGTGCGAAGCCTTAGTAGCCGCAAATATTCTGTGGACGAAAGTAGAAAACCCAGTTTTCAAAACATTCTTACAAAAATACTCCAGTCACACCGTACCGTCGGAGTCGACTCTGTGCAAGAACTACCTGCAGCCCATGTTCGAGGAAACATTGAAGAAAATCAGAGATGAACTTGAGGACTCATGCATTTGGGTCTCCGTAGACGAGACGACAGATGCGACTGGACGCTTTGTCGCGCACATCATGGTTGGGAAGCTCATAGCAGACGAGAGAACAACGCCTTTTCTTGTGTGCTGCAAGACGCTAGAGAGAACAAATGGGGAGACCGTGGCGTACTTTGTTAACACGTCCTTGAAGGTGCTATACCCTACTGGAGTGGAAGACAGCAGGGTGCTACTTTAGACGGATGCGGCGGGTTGTATGCACAAAGCTGCCTTCCTCCTGAAGGCTTTCTACCCGCGGAGCTAAGAAAACACTTCAGGCATGTAAACGATCTCGTTGCTGCTGTGAAGGCCGTGTACCTTAAGTCACTGTCTCGTGTTTGTGCATATAAGGAACAGCTACCAGGGGTGCCTCTTCCACCGGAACCCATAATGACGCGATGGGGAACGTAGCTTAAAGCTGTAGAGTATTACAATACTAACTTTGCTGGTGTGAAGATGATCATTAACGGGTTTCCAGCAGACGATAGTGTCTCAGTCAGAAAGGCTCAAGATGTCCTGCGCGAGGACACTCTCGAAGGTGACCTGGCGTATTTGTGCTCCAATTTCACGTTTCTGGCGGACACAATCAAGAGCCTCGAAAGTGCTGGCGAAACTCTGGCTCGGAACGTCGGGCTCATTTCGAAGGTTCAAGAACTAGTCGACGACGTCCGCGCAGGCCCCGCTGCTGTACAAGTTCGTTCAAAGCTTCAGTCCGTCTTGAGCAAAAATAGTGGGTTTTCTGTACTCAAAGAAGTCTCGAAGGTTCTCTCCGGGGAACACTCCAGGGTGCCAGAGGGTGTGGAAGCATTGAATATTTCTAAGCACAAGTACGCCCCGCTCACATCAGTTGACGTGGAACGCTCTTTTTCAGCGTACAAACTGGTTCTAAGCGACAAGAGGCAGAAGTTTGAACCCAAGAATCTTGAGATGGTGCTTGTTTTTTATTGTTTTCATAATTTTTCCCATTGTTTCTAGTTGGACTATGTACAGCATGAGACAGCTTAGTACCGGTGCGGGCTTGAGTCGACTTTTTTTTTCGAATGTTGGACAAATTAAGTTGTAATGCCTATTGTAATATTTTATTCTGTTTTTGTTTGAATGGCAGAGGCCCTAAATGCCTTCAGGAACACCCTGTGAATAAAACTGATTGTGCCTATAAATGCGTATTACGAAGTTTTAGTCCCCTTTATAGGCGCCTAAAAGTGGATTTTTTAGTGCCTAAACATCCGGCCTCTAGTCATGACCTGCAGACGATTTTGGGTCTCATTTCCTTAATACATAATCTAAAATATTTCTCATCGACAACAACAGAGCCTAAAGGGTCACCAAATCCATCCCAGTTAGGCTATATAGCTGAGGAGCAGTTATTATTCTAATTGTAGACTGACGCAATGTGATCCGCAAACAACTCAGACATGCCCTTCGCACTGTCGCTGTGCTGATTCAAAACGATTTCGGACTCAGTAGTCTTCCCCAAGCGGAATTTAGCGTACATCCACATTTTTGGGGGATCTTTAAATAGATCTGATTCTATCAAGTCACAGTGCGCCTGGCGATCAAGGTTTAAAAGGTTCTTCTTTTGTTTTCAGCAAATTTTAAATTCAACTTCCCACTTTGGATGACCACTTTTATAATAATAAAAGTAACAATAATATTATACATAATAATATTGAGGATAATATTAATATTATATAAAAGAATAATATTAATTATAATAAAAGTAATAGATCATTCGAAATCGCTTCAAATTACAAACAATTCGCGTACCAAAAGCACTCGCGTGCTTAAGCTTGAGAACGACAAATCCATTCACAAATGCATAATTGTGAAATCTGCAAATCTCTTCTCTTCCGTCTGTCCTTGACTTCTATCCTTACCCTGTATTTACAAATTCAGCAGCTACTAGCACAGCCGTCAGCACTAGCGCTGTTTGAGCTTCTATGGGCATTTTCTTTTGTTATTACTTCAATTGTAGGTAAGGCTACACAAGGAACGAGTAGTAGCGACGGAATATTAGCAAGTGATATTTTAACTCGATCTGGCAAAAACAGCGCAACATTTGGTGCCACCCCAGCGTGTTCAAAGTGCACAACTGGCGGCAAATTGGTGAAAACGCATGGTCCACTTTGTGATTGACAGCTTCGACAAATACAGTGAGAATTTAATGTATGTAGGCTAAATAACGTGTAATACTACCGTGAAGTTTCGTTATTCTATCGAAAGGTCGTGTTTCTTTAAACAATAAAAAAAAGATTCAGAGAAAAGAATGAACAAAAAAAAATTGTGAAGACATTTTACTTTTAGTTTGGTGGCGGCGGAAGCAGCGGACATTTTCTCCCAGCCTCGCGCATGCGCCCCATCAGCCCTGTTCGGGATGTCGGGAAACGGAACCAGGGGACGTTTATCTTTGAAATTCGAATCTGCTGCTCTTGTCAGCTGTTCTCACCAGTCAGTTTGAGGACCTGTGTTTTTGTTTTGTGTTTGTTACCACAGCAGTCGCGCTTGATTGGACGAGTCCGTGCGTGCTGCTGTCGTTACCCGAGATACTTCGTAGGCCTAATAAGCCGGACTCGCTTGCCCGAAATGCCGGCAAATGCTTAAAGCTGGACGACCATCCAAAGGTAGACTGAGCTCCGATTGAGGACTAGCTGATGTATACGCTGTGGATGGTCATCTGCTAGCCCTACACGCCGGTAGCCGTTCCCTCTGAGAACAAATGCCAAATGTCGATTCGTTGCTAACAAAAGCTGGCCGGCGGATTTGTGCAATGCGACTTCGACGGTCGCGGCATTGTAATCTTTTTCCTCCGACATTTCTGTTACGTTCGGGTGAAAATAAATGATTCTTTCGAATCGTTATTACTATAATTTTCTTATGTAAGAGCTCAACTCTTAGGCGCCCGTTTCCGGCTTGATTAGCGGCGTCGCCGTCACCTTAAGCGTAACCACGCGGTGCATTATGGGAAACGTACCACATCGCACCGCGCCGGATCGTCACTCGTGCCGAAACGCCACCATGAAGAAACGTCAACGTGACATTTTGGTGTGCGTCACGTGTCGAAACGTCACGTGCCGTTTCGGCAGAACACCGAAACGTCGCGTGACGATGCGCGTTACGCGCGTGAAAGAGGGGGAGGGCAGGAGGAGGGGAGGAGGAGGGGGTACGGATGGGGAGGACGGGCATACCCTCCGCTCAGTACCGTCCCCTCTTCTTCCTCTAGGGCTGCGCTCTAAATCGGCGTTACAGGAAGTTGTAAACGTCTTTCATTTTTTTTTTTGTTGAAACTACCAGGATGTAGGTAAACTCTGCCCCGATTCGCTACTTCGACTGCAGCGGTCCTGTTGGTACCGATCAGCGGAAGAAGAAAAAGCACTATGGATCAGAGCGCACATAGACCGCGCTGGAATCAATCTGTTTGGACTTTTTTAAACGCGGCGTAGTGGACGACGTTGGCACGATCGCATTCGGAGGCTGATTTTGTACTCCGTTTCAGGATAACTTTACGAACTCTGAAGGCTGATGTCCCCGCGAAACGCTGAGAGCGTCGCTGCGAAACACGTGAAACCACGCCTCCGGAGCATTTGTGGCAAACATCCAGATTTGTCACGTGCCGTGCTGCGACGCTCTTATTGGATCGCGGGGGCCTTAGCCTCCAGTGTTCGCCAACTTATCGTGAAACGGAGTATTGACGCTTTCAGGCAGCTGTGCATGGGCGCCGCCATAACCGGCCTTCATTTTTTGTTTCCGCTTATTCCGTTCGCCTTACTTCATGATTGCCTCAGTAGGACAGGTTATTGCCACTTTAGGTGCTGCGGTGTCCTTGTTCCCAGCACAGTTCCTTGTGGAGGCTCCTCAACGCCCGCTTCAGTGGCTCGGCACCTCGGTAGGACGTGAGAAGGCCGGCCATGGCGGCTCAATTTGGCACGTGTTTAAAGCGTCAATAGGATAATGCAAGGGGCTATGGTGACGAAGCGTACCCGCCCAAGGCGCAGCAGCCATGAACCTGACTCGCAGCCAACTGACCATCCGCATTGCTCCAATCCTTCAAATAATGAATTTTTATAATACGTCAACGGTCATAAAATGTATTGCTTCTTTTTGTAATCTTAATTAGCATAAAACTCGCAAAATAAGTCGCATTTCCAAAAAAGTGAAAGGTTTCCTCAGAGTGTTTACGTTCGGTGAGCAAAATCTTAGCGCAAACTCCTAATTAGTCCACGAATCATTAAAGGGCATCTTTAGGCTCACGCCCCACAGCAGTCATCTCAGAGAATCTTCAAATTCTACGCATAGATGGTGACACCAATTCGTGTGGCCGACAAACTGTGTTATGGCTCTTGCCACCAAAGGTCCTCCTCCGTTATTAAAATGCCTTTCTTTCAGCTAATCGACCGTGCACGTTGCACGTTCGGCGCGTGCTCTCGTCCGCATACTCTTTGTTTTTTAATAAACATATATCAATAACATTGTCACAATTAGTAAAGAGGCAAATATTTTTTAGGTATGCCGATGGCACCAGTTTATATTTTTCTGCGCAAGACAAGGAAAAGCTGCCGCAAGTCACAAATCTCAATCTTGACTCGGTTCACAGATGGAGCTCTGTAAATTCACTCCCTATTAACACTTCCAAAACTAAGGCCGTTATTTTTAAACCGAGGAATAAGTCTATGGTTTTCGACCACAACCATGTTCTTGGGCCCTCCATCACTGAGATAGTACCCAGTACTAAAACCGTAGGCGTGATTTTTGAAGAAAATCTGTCATGGGATTTTTACATTCGAAGTCTTATTCGGAAGATTTCGAAAGCCGTTGGCATTCTTAATAGGTTTCGCTTCGACTTCCCATTAAAAATTTAACTTCACATTTAATTTTCATTTTGATGTCAAGAAAATACAGTTGTATAAAAATACAACTCTGTATTTTTCTCACATCTAAATCATTGTCATTTGGTTTGCGGAACCACAACATCAAAAACATAAACAATCCTTATGTCTCATAAAAATACCCTACGGAGTATCGTCAATACCCCATATGATTCGTATGCACAGCCCCTTTTTAAGACTCTGCATACCATTCCAATACCGAAACTGTAGGACTACACAGTAAGTTTAAGATACACAGCGAGCATTAAACTGAACAATGCTTTATTTCAAGAAATCACTGGTCAAGCACGAAGTATAAATTTTTATGCTACTCGTAATGAGGATGTCTGGAAGTACCATTAAGCAGAACAAAGAATGGAATGCAGATGTTAAGACACCAGCTCCCATCATTATTGAACAATCTAAGGAGCAAGAACTTCACCATGGAAACACTAGCACCTCGTGCCATCAAAAGTACGTTTCTGACGCTCACTTATTTTTGTCTAGTGCCTTATGATAACATTGTTATATTTCCAGGTTACAAGTGTCTATATGCTTTTCTCACTCCTCTTTCTGCTGCATGATTATCGATTTTGTTTACATTTTGTGACAATATGCTTATCCACCTCTTCCAAGAAAACGGATGTGGGGTGCAGTCGAGTCAACATGTTTGGATTTTTCCGATGCCCCTGTCGTCTGTACATATAGAGAAAATAAAACTGATTCTGAATCTGATTCTGATCATGCGCTGCCAGCTCAGGCCCAGTTGGGTCGGCTACTAAGCACACGCAGCTAGCACATCCGGCTCATTTCTCGAAGGATGCAAATCTGGGTTGCTTTTCTTTTTTTGCTACAGGGGCTTCTGATCCAAGGATCAAGAATTTCCACATGCTCTTCCACAAGTTTCTTGGGCATCAGCGCCTCGGCGCATGCACAAAAATGAGAACATCAGCAGAACTCACTAAGGGCAAATTTTTTTAGATGACAATCGTAAAATACCTCTAAGAAATAATTTACCTTTTGAACGCATATAATTTTTCTGTCGATGCTCCACGTTCTTTTTTTTTCTTTTCCAACTGAATTTCTGAGGGCCACATTCACAAATCGATCATA